CTGCAGCTGCAAAACCTGTATTTTCAGCTAAATGGCCGAAAGCAGCTCAGAGCACTTCCCAGCAGTGAAAGCACCCAGAGCAGGCTTTGACTTTTGCTCTGAGTGCTTCCATTGCTGGAGAGCGCTCTCCAGCCAGTATCCTTGCTCTGGCAAGTATACAGGTTTTGCAGATGTGTAAGCATTTTAAATTTCTCTACTTCCCTAGAGCTGCTCATTTTCTTTTACAGCAATAAAGAACCAGTCAGTATCCAAGTTGGATCAAATGGGACAGTGATGAAGTTATTAACAACACTGCCACCCATGCTATGAGTCCCCAGAGGAAGAGCATAGAGGAGAGAGTACTAGTAGTGGCCAAGCCAAATAGCAGCAGATATTGCTGACAATGAGCAGTGGACCAAGGAGCTGATAGAGTCCAAGGTCAAGAGTGTTACGAGTTCTATTTATAGAAGTCGTTCTTATGGCGGCAAAAATCCATCCTTTTGATTGCGTTAAGACGTGAGAGTTTCTTCCCCTTTTTAGTCTTACTTATGTCAGCAACAATCCTGGCGTAATTGTCATCTCTTGTTCCTTCCTCCTCTCTCCTTCTTGCTTTCCTGTTGTTCAACTGAAACTCTGTCAAAATTGTTACTTCGATTACGCTCTCCCTTTCAATGCATCCCTTATTTAATCTTTTTTTTCACCCATTTCCTCGGAGGTGGACAGTTCACTCTCAGAACATCAGATGCTGCTATTGCATGCATGGTCACGGCATTCTTCCCTCGTACACATTTCATAGCCCCAACGTTGACCTTAACAAACTCATTCCTGTTCGAGTGGATACCCCTCGATATTGGCCTTTTTACCTCGACACCGAAAAAATTGCCCGACATAGAGATTCTCTGATGCAGAGTCAAACATTGTATGTCAAATGAAGAACGGCTTTCCTCAGCTATACCGAAGATCCTCAAAGATCCTCAAGGTAGTTGTAGCTTGTTTGTCCATTCTAGGTTGTCAGCAAGAGAGGCAGCTACACTGAACTACCCACAACTGTCCAATACCAAAACTCACCCAGCAGGTGACGGGAATTCATCACCTCCTTCTCTAATGACCCTCTCTTCCTGTCCTTTGCAGAATACTTCTGTTGCAGTGATGGAAAAACTGACCAGGAACAACTCCTTAGAGAAAATTTAGCTGGAGTTGAATATATGTTTGTTGATGAAGTGTCAATGCTATCTGCAAGAGATCTATATTTGATTAGTGCTAGATTAGCCAAAGCCTCAGGTAAGCTAGATACAGAGTTTGGAGGCATAAATATGATTTTTGCCGGTGATTTTGCACAACTGCCACCTGCTTTAGGTTCACCACTTTACTCTCGGACTATTCGGGTGTCAGGTAAAAGCAATGGTCAACAAGAAGATGGTATGGGAAAATCAATATGGCACCGGGTTACCACAGTGGTAATTTTAAGGCAAAATATGCGCCAGAAAAATATATTACTTCTGAAGATAACAAATTCCGGACTGTACTAGAGAACATGAGATATAAAAAATGCACACCAAGTGATATAGCATTTCTGAGATCTCAAATTTCTGCAAATGTCCCAGGTGCTGACTCAATTTGTAAATCTGAGTTCAGAAATGTACCAATGATCACTGCACTAAATATTGATAAAGATGACATTAATCGGATTGGCTGTGAAAGATTTGCTGCAGAGAATATGTCTAAATTGACTAACTTCTACTCTGAAGATGTAGCCAGGCAGTCTAATGATAATGCTCAGGATGAAAAGAGAACAAAAAAGAAATGACAGATGATATACAAAAACTTTTGTGGTCTCTCAATCACAGCTCTTCAGATTCACATGTACCATCAAAATTATCACTTTGTGTAGATATGCTGTCAAGTTCATGCCTCGGTGCCGCGCCTCGCTGCTCGGGACTCCGAGATCGACCCTTTTATTGTAATCTTCTTCTTATTGTTCTTTCTCGTTACACAAACCCTTTCATCCTAGTTCCTTCTTATTGTCTTATTGTCTTCCCTGCAGGTACTACTCGTATAGCTCCTAGTAGTTAGTCTGGCGCTCCGCCCCAATGCGCCAATCCGTAGATATAAATACTGCCTGTACTATACTGTAGTTCCTCAATTTAATTATCAACTTAGATTATTCTCTTAACATCCTCGACTTGAGACTTCCTCTGTATTCTTGTCACTCTCTAGTCTTCAGGCTCGTCGCCTTGAAGTACTTCTCACTCTGACCTTAGGACTTATAAGTTCTTTGGTTCGCTCCCCGTCAGCGTTACCGCCACTCCGACTTGGCTGCTACTAGTTCTTGTAAGACCTGGGTCAGAATTGGTCTTAGGGTAGGTTTGGTATAAGGGATTTATGTTGTAGCGTGCTAAGAGCAAGCTGGAGCTCGAAGGGAGCTACAGGAACCGCGACCGAGGACAGGAATGACCTAAGAATAATTCGGATTGAAAGGGGTGACCCTTGAAGAGGTTCCTAGGAGGTCCTGGGAGGTACCTAGGATGTTAATGGGGGACTAAAGGTTACTAGGAGCTAGGGAGTGTCAGACTGTTGCGTAGTACGAGTTGTAGTAGATAGGAGCGACAGCACAGGATCATTATAGATTGTAGCTGATGTGAGTTCTGAACGTGGGAGCTCCCGATGGAGTGTAAGCCTGGGAGGGAGGTCCCGGGAAGTGGGGTTAGAGGAGGACGTCCTCAATCGTTGGAGGGAGTAACGGAGAAGCGGTACATAGTTTGACATAGGGGATAGCTTCAATGTTACCTAGATCAAGGTCCCTGAGCTTGTGGAGCACTTGGGGAGCTTGAGGAGGTTTGGGGGAGGTTGGCTCGCCAAAACGATAGATGTTGGGGAGCTTTAGCATTGGTCAAGGGAGCTTGAAGACTCACTTGGGTTGCTTAGACATGAGGTAAAAGCGTGTATTGGATCGTTTAGACGACCGTAGAGACGAAGATAGAAGTAAAGAAACAGAGATAGGGAAACAGAGAGTAAGAGAAATCCGTATAGTTAGCAGGTACAAAGGGACAGGGACTGGACCTATGTAAAAGGGTATGTGTTCAAAATATACCAAGCTGGGACTTCGGAACATTGCAAGACTACTTAAATAGGTATGGGAAGTGAACAAGGGGACATTGGGTGATCTGGAGAACATGAGGCAGGTAATCGAGATTAATACTTAATGGGTTTGGTGGTAGGAGGGTCTTGTGCACATGTCGGGGGAGCTACGCGTGTCGGGGAGTTGTCAAGGCATTTGGAAATGGGAAGGGTATCTGGGAAGGGATGGTTGTACTGTCTTGGGGAGGTACTGGGTGTTAAAGTCATGACTGAAAACAAAGTGGCCAAACTGGGGATTGAACCCAGGACCTTCTGGTTATATCCCAGATGCTCTAACCAACTGAGCTAT